TAAAACCAAATTTTAGTATAATAAACCATTCCATTAGTTCAACAAAAACAAAAAATAAAACAACACGTCCATTATGTTCTCAAAATTCAAAAGCCCCGTCAACGTTTACCATATTCCTAACCCATGATTCAATATTTGAACTTTCACTCATACACAACTCAATAGTAATGTATTTTTTTTGTAAAGTCACACATCATTGGTCTTGACTTCTAGAACGTGTCTTCCCATGTATATTATTCAGTCATTTTGAGTACAAATATGCCGCAACTGTACCTGGATATCACACAGATGGGGTTAGCTCGAAACATTACACTCACACAACACTCTTGCTTACTGCACGAAATAAACGGCTCTATTGCAACATAACATACCACCATAGATAGTGCATTTAAATCCATTGTTGTGCACTCTTTTTTTATACACCTACATAAACTACATTTGGACGTCCAAAATAATGCACTAAAACAAGTATTGATAAAATATGCTATTGACTCTATTGTCAATTACAAGTATACATTTTCTATTCACTATACAAACATCAATTACAACACAATAAATACCTTCACAATTGCATTTAATGCACTACATAAATAAAATATATGATAACAAATTAATGCACTAACATAATTACATATGTATGTTTCTCATTCTGCTATGAAATGCAACAAACATATTACTGCACCCCAGAACCAACAAAAATATATTACTAAATGTGCCATGAAATGCAATTGTACAATTTCGTTTGCTATTATAATATAAATTATAGACCTACATTCACATACACACTTCATTTGAACATCATTGCATTAACATACTATCAGTAAAACATACTATACTTGAACATTACATACTATCAGTAAAACAAACAAATTACTGCACTCATTCAATGCTATTTTATTTCAATGCATTGTATACAAACTTATTAGTGCCATTCATGGCATTAATAATTCAACTCAATGTGCTATGTATTCCAACAAATTAAAATTCATCTGTTTAATTATGGAGAGACATAGCTATACACATTTACCAATAAGACAATTCACATGACCATCGTTCCCAAACACACACTCCAACTTTTATACACTTTACTTTTCACACAAAAACAACATTCAAAGTGCCAAAAACATCACTGCACACATTCATCCATACAACCACAACACACAGTCCACTGTTACCAACCACAATGAATTCGGAAAAGTTATGCAATTAAACACTAGAAGACTCACCACACCGTCGATTGTCACCGGCTCATACTCCTTTCCTTTACCTTTCCCGGCAACGCTCGTTGTTCGCTTTTTGCTTCTAGTTTTCGCCATTTTTGCCGATTCTGTACTTCACTGCTTTGCATGGTGTTGCTGATATGCGTTGGTCTTTGGAAATTTTGGGCACAACTTTTTGGAATCCTTCCTTAATTGAACCACTTACCATATGAGACCGGCCGCTTTTCTCTCTGATTGAAATAATAGCAGATTTTGAAAATAGGAATTTTAATTTAATATCTCGCTTCCTACTACTGCCCAAGTTTAGTTAGAGGCTATTTTGGTCTTTTAATGTTATGATTTTTACATTGATCGTTTTAATTGATACACGGTTAGTCATACATGTGGAAAAAAACTTCGAAACTCATAGTTTGGGAAATCTACTAATTAATTTCAATTTGCATATACATACAGTACATCCTCAACCCAATTACGCCGTATTAACCTAAGCGGTTAAGCCCTAAGGAGCACTCAGCACGGACTCAAAGAGGCGACGAGTCAATGTATATTATTGACGTTTTCAATTCATTCAAGAGAATTTACCCAAAATAGGACTAAAAGGGTTTGGAAATTCCATAATAAGACTGACATGTTTTTATTTCCAAAATAGGACAAATTACTGCCATGTTTTGGCAGTACCAGACTTCAAACATGGCAGTATTTTCCAAACTTGGCAGCAATTACTCCTATTTTGGGAATAAAAACATGACAGTCCTATTTGGGAATTTTCAAACTGTTTTAGTCCTATTTCGGGAACTTTCCCTTCATTCAGTTATCAATTACTCCGTATGTACTCCACGACTCCACGTCCTTTTATTATACGGATGTCGTTTATTATACGGAGTATGTCGTTTCATTTTATTGTTCTCTTTTTCTGTTTATTCAAGGAAACGTCGCCGCTTGACAAAATGAATTTTAAAAGATAAACGAAATTAGGTCGTTGTCTTCCTTCAGCTCAAGCAAACCAGTCCCGCTGGCACTGAAAACCCATGAAAGCTCCAGGGGCGGCGGAATAAATAGACCATATATATACCTTAAGTGCTCCGACGAAGGGGTGGCGCCGGCACCGGCTCGCCCACCCCTGGTTCCGCCACTGGGGGACGAATCATCAAACCTTCATATGAAAAATTCCTTGCAAGCCCACCACCTCAAGGAGATGTCCTTGACCCCTGCGATTTTAGCACTAGTGAACCCGGAATCCCCGCTTGATGGAATCTCCCCATTCGAAACCAGCAGCATAAACGAGGGAGTCATAACCCAAGCAAAAAACAGCGCGATCCAAATTTGCCTGAGCCTTGCTACGTTCGAAACCTTCCAAACTCGTCGATCAACAAGCAACGGCGCAACAGTCCCAAAGTCCGCAGGCCCTGCTCCCCCCTCTTCGCTGAGATACCTGTCCGAAGAACACACAGATCCGAAACCCTCCCCTCCACGTCCGAGCACAAACCAATCGAAGACACCGTGCTGAAGCCGAAGCCCTCCCCCTGCCGATTGAGGAAGAAAAACGGCGCAGCAAAATACTAACCCTAGAGTACTAGGGAGACGTCCGCGGTTAATAAAACTGAACAAAAATTCTTGGTGTACACGTTCTTATACACACCAGTACATCTCCGTGTCTGTGAGAGTTTCTTTCTTGTCTGTGAATGCCATTTCACAGACAAAATCTGGCTTGTGTTGTCCGTAGAATTTTCCACAGACAAAACAAGCCAGATTTTGTCTGTGAACTGACATTCACAGACAAAAAAAAATCTCATAGACAAGGAGGTGTACTGGTGTGTATGGTTGTATACGAACCGAATCGAGTCGAATAGTAGGATTTTGTATTTGTATTTGTTTAACTTTTTCGAATATGAATTCGAATTCAAATATGAAACGAATATTAATTTCGATTTGTAATTGTATTTGTTTAACAATACGAATAGTTAACGAATCTTATACGAATATCGAATAGATTTGAGCATAGGTTAAATATTAGTCAAATATCACTTAAAATTAAATTTTCTTATATTTTTTTATGTTGTAAATGTACGCTATGATTTAATATGTGTTTTTAGAATTTAAATTCAATGGACCAATGCATTTTTAGATTGTGCACAATATACTGAAGTGAATCAATTTTATGATTAATAAATATAAATCTATTTCAAACTTTTTGAAATAAACATTAGCACACACATATTAGAAATTACACTTATAATGTGTGAAATAATTGTATATATCAAAGTCAGACGACTCTAATTTTATTCTACGAATCGAATACATAATTATTTGTATTGTATTTGAAAGACATTTGAACCAAAAATCCGATTTGTATTCGTATTTATACTCTGATTTATTACAAATGGACTTAGAATCTGTATGCGTAAATTTATATATGAACTACACTTTAGTGTATTGCTATCTTTTAAAAGTTATTATAGTGTTAATACTATTATTATTAATATTATCACTATTATTAATCGAATATATTTGGTTAATATTCGAATCGAATACACTGATATTCTTATTTGTATTTGATAACAAATCGAATCAAATTTAATATTCATATTTGTATTTGTATTTGAATTTTCCGAATTCGAATCGTCTTATACGAATTCGAATCGCGAATCGAGCACAAATTATTTGATTCGTTTATAACCCTACTGGTGTGTATAAGAACGTATAGAAAAGGAATTTTTGAAAACTGAATCGTATCCAATTGTGAGGGTCCGAATTGAAAAGTCAATGATTTTTTTAAAAAATTTATAGTTAAAAGTCTGACTTTTTTATGGTAGTATTTTCATTGCAAGACAACCGATCATGGAGCATCCATTGCCAGTAAGGGAGTGTTTGCAACTGCTTAAAAAAAAGCACTTCTCAGCTTTTGGCTTTAAAAAGCACTTATTTACCAAACACTACCAATTTTTACTTTTTCTCGGCTTGCGTGTGAAAAGTGCTTTTCCCTTTTCTATTACACAAAAAGCACTTATTTTACCAAACACTACCAACTTTTACTTTTCAAAATCACTTTTTTCTCAAACACTATCAACTTTTACTACCAATCACTTTTTCATTACTTCTCCAAAAGTGCTTTTTTTTAAGCAGAAGCAGTTGCAAACACTCCCTAAGCCACTTTGCCATTTTTGAAAGTGGAACTGACTTATTTCCCTCCCAATCTAATTCCAATTAAGAGCCCGTTTGGAGACCTCTTTTTTCGGCTTATCAGGCTTATCAGCCAGCTTTTTCACCAAACACGTAACTTTTACTTTTGTGTGCTGAATTGTGTAATAAGCAGAAAAAGTAAGGTTGAAGTTACTTTTCTGGCTGTATTGGCTGAAGTTACTGTAGAGGACTATTTTAGCTATTTTTACATGTAATTTTTTCTATAATTTATTAATAAAATATATTTTAAAAATATTTTTTTCTTGAATCAAATCAGCCAAAACATCCAATTCAGCCAGAATTTCATAAATTTCAGCAGAATCAGCCAAAACAGCCGATTTTCGTGCTACCAAACGGGCTCTAAATTTCCACTCCATTTAACTCCCACTATTTCTGTTTGACATTTCTTTCCCTTCTTTCTCTACAGCTGACTAGGGTTTCTTTCTACTGGTACCGTTTTTCCGAGATCTCCCCTATATTTTTCACCTGATTGAATTCTTACATTTCAATCTTCTCGCTGTAATTATCTGTATGATGCTATCATTTTACTTGACGTTTCAGCAGGGAATAAGTTTTCTTTTTAATTTATTTATGTTAATCGTACCTCTCTCTTGCATATGCGGCCAGTTCATATCATTCCACTTACGATTAGGGGAACATGTTCAGATATAGCATAGAATCTCCCAAGTAAACAATATTTCTCATGATTTTTCTAAGAATGGGGTTAAACTTCTAAGCATGTATAGAGTTTCATCGGTTTCTGATTTGTGGGGTTTTTTGCTCACACGTTGTGTAGTGTGTAAAGCTTATTGTTACTAGGAGACTTCAGAATAGAGATTCAAGGGTATTTATCTGATACACTCTATTTTGAAATAGTTGCAGAAGATCAGACACTTTTTGTTCAGTAGTTATTGACTAATGGAACTAATTATTCTGTGATCCGCTAGCAATTTTTATCGCCCAGATTAACATTACTCTTTAACGTTTTGTCACTTCGGTGTTACTGAACAGGCCGTCAGATAGTTCCTTTTAAAGCTCTAAGCAGATGGAATCTTCAGTTGTGAAACTCTGGCCCCCAAGTCAAAGTACCCGATTATTGCTTGTGGACAGAATGACAACAAACCTTAGCACCCCGTCCATTTTGTCCAGAAAGTACGGGACTCTGTGTCAGGAAGAGGCAGAAGTGGCATCAAAAGAAATAGAGTCTATAGCTTTTGCAGCAGCAAACAAACACTTTGAGAAGGAGACAGATGAAGATGGAAGCTCCGCTGTGCAACTTTATGCCAAGGAATCAAGTAAGCTTATGTTAGAGGTTCTTAAAAGAAATCCAAGAGCTCTGGAGGATGCAGAAGGTGAAGTCAAAGCATCTAAAGAAGAAACAGTTCTTGATCTATCTGGAGGTCAAAGGGCTTTCATTGACTCCGAAGAAGCTAAAAATTTGTTGAAACCTCTGAAGGAACCTGGGAACAAATTTACAAAGATTTGTTTCAGCAACAGAAGTTTTGGGTTGGATGCAGCCTATATTGCCCTGCCTATTTTATCCTCACTTAATGAACAACTAATTGAGGTAGACCTGTCGGATTTCATTGCTGGAAGACCAGAGTCAGAAGCCCTTGAAGTCATGGAAATCTTTTCATCTGCTTTGGCAGGGTGTCAACTCAGGTATCTCAACCTGTCCAACAATGCACTGGGAGAGAAGGGTGTGAGAGCTTTTGGTGAACTTCTCAAATCTCAACAGAACTTAGAGGAGCTCTATTTGATGAACAATGGCATCTCAGAGGAAGCAGCAGAAGCAGTTTGTGAGCTCATCCCTTCAACTGAGAAGCTTCGGGTACTTCATTTCCACAACAATATGACTGGGGATGGCGGTGCATTTGCTATCTCTGAACTCTTAAAGCATTCCTCTATACTAGAAAACTTTCGATGCTCATCTACAAGGGTGGGGTCTGAAGGTGGGATTGCTTTGGTAGAAGCACTCGGGGGATGCACTCGCTTAAAGAAGCTTGATTTGAGGGACAACATGTTTGGCACTAAAGTCGGTGTTGTTTTAAGTGGCGTATTGCATAGGTTTTCGGGTTTAACTGAAATATACCTTAGTTATTTGAATTTGGAAGATGAAGGGTCCATAGCCATTGCAAATGTCCTCAAGGAATCTGCTCCGTCACTCAAAGTCTTGGAAATGGATGGGAATGACATCACGGCCAAAGCTGCTCATGCTATTGCAGGTTGCATATCTGCAAAGCAATTTCTTACCAAGTTGAGCTTGGCAGAAAATGAACTGAAGGATGAGGGTGCGGTTATCATTGCCAAGGCATTGGAGGACTGTCACGATCACCTGTTAAATGAAGTGGACATGAGCACTAACTTGATACGAAGGGCTGGGGCCAGGTGCCTGGCTCAGGTTGTTGTCAGCAAACCAGGATTTAAGGTGCTTAATATTAACGGAAACTTCATATCTGATGAGGGTGTTGATGAGGTTAAAGAAATTTTTAAAACCTGCCCAAGTTTGCTTGGCCCTCTGGATGAGAATGATCCGGAAGGTGAAGAAGATTCTGATGAAGAAGGCATTGATGTTGAGGTTGCTAATGATGATATTGTTGAGAATGAATTGGAATCTAGGCTGAAGCACCTTGAAATCAAACATGAAGAATAGCCACATTGCAGGTCTGCGCTTGATCATACGAATCTGGAATCTCATGTTAGCTCGTAACCAATTTGGTGTTGGTTTTAGACTAAAATTACTTGTTATGTGTGTTTTGTATGATGCTCTTGTTGTTTGTTCTGCGTGGGCGCATTTTTTGAACTGCCCTAAGTTACAAAAAAATTGGTATCTTTGCCTTCATTTTATTATTTTCGCTATATAATTTGCAAGTAAACGTTGCCTAAGAATCCATTGAGTCAAATGCTTCTTGCATCACTCGGTTTTAAGTAAATGATAGAAAGATATGAGAAGTACAAGCTTGGCAACCAATCTGCCAACTGTGGTTTCAAATATTCAAGTATCTTGGGTCCTTCAACTCTTTTTGAAGGTTTGTCATGCACTACCATCCAAATTCTCCAGGACAGCACTTTGCTCAGCATAGTGGTCATGCAAAACGCCTTTTTAATTGTTGAACTTGAACATTATGAATAACTACTTAATGATGGTTGGCAAGGAGACAGTTCTCTTAGGGTCTGTTTGGAATCTGTGAAGTTCCCTGGAAAGAAAACAGGAATGGAAATTCAGTGGATGCATCAGCTTTAACAGCTTCCTGCAATATCCAAAGTTTTTTCTGGTTGTTTTCTAAAGAAAACGTTGTTGGTGGGTATAAGGACGCTCATCAGTGAGTGGACGTACTCCTTCAATATCAGGAAGCTCATCACTTCATCAGTTTCTTAGAAGATCCCAACCATCACTGGCTCACTGCTGATGAACCAAGACAGTTTTACCATTCAAGTCTTTGTCCATTCTGCCACTAGCCTAGGGGTGGACCAGAACCGGGTTGGGCTGGGATCCGGGCCAGGCCTGAATGGGCTCGGGCTTAAGAAATTCAGGCCCGGTACCAGCCCAGGTCGGACAGAGCCTAAACAGTAAACAGTACCGGGCCGGGTTTTGGGACAGGACTGGGCAATAAATTAAAAAAATAGTGCAATCGGGCCAGGCCCCAGGTCAGGCACCGGGCCGGTTCGGGCCTGAAAAGTAGCAGGTCGGGCCTGCATAGTGCTATTGTGATAAGACAAACAGTGAATCCAAGCTAGATGATGATTTGTTGTGAATTGTGATAAGACAAACAGTGAATCCAAGCTCAATAATCTAGATCTGCGGGCATTGTCCTAATGACAAAATGACAAATAACACTTGATTTTCTGAATCTACAGTCGTCCATTTTCATGTAGTAATAATGTTTAACATAACACGATTTATTAAAATTTACTACGTACTACGTATATAATTTACATGTACACTAAAAGAATTCTATCAAACAGGGAAAAAATTATATGTGATACTGGGGGTTGATGTACTAAAAAATAAAACAGAATTTTATGCACAATCAATAATTTAACATTTTTTACATCAAGGCTGAGCATGTTGTAAGTGTTTTGGATGCTGACTGTGGCCAGTAAGTATTCCTTGTTTGCAATTTTGATTGTATTGGTAGAAATTTATGCTTTTCATAGCATGATGGATAAGGTCAAAGTGGTAGGTCAAATTTTTGTATTGAACTATAAAATGGGTTGGTTTAGTTAGTGAAAGGTATATTTAGCCTTTTTTATTTCCACATTATGTTAATGAGGTGTGGCTTATATAATCTGTGGTATGGTGTGTTTAGAATGCAAATTGTAGGTACTTCAAATGGTATAATGACAATGACTTGACTTATGATGACTACAAAATGGAGGACAAAGACATAGTCATTGACAAGTTGTTGGGGGACAAGAAGAAGTTGGAAGAAAAAGTGCAAAAAATGAAGAACAAAAACAAGAAGATGAAGGCTTTGATAAGCGAAGCACAGATGATGGCTACCAAAAGTGCAAAGGGAGAAAAATATGCTATTATGGTTGTACTTGTATCTTGCATTGTTTTTGCTATTTTAAGTTATTTGAAGTGAAATGTAGAAGTCTTTAGATGATGCTAATGTACTTGTTGAGGTTATATAACAGTGTAATTTGTACCCTTGGATTTGAAGTGTATGAAATTTATGTTTGGAATCTCAAATATTTGTTTAAAGATGTGTGGATCATTATGGTGTGTGTTGCTTATCACTCTGTGTAACATGTGCAGTAAGTTAAAAATTTGCACTCATTGTGCTTAAATATGCCAAGACAAATAATGATCCAAACTGATATAGAATCATAAAGTAACTGAAATCTAAACACACCATACCACATCAAACTGATATAGAACCATAAATTAAAGTAACTGAAATTCTCTGAAATAAAGACAAAACACAACCGAATGTGTTTCAATCTGCCAATTGGAAGACAACAGATTCATAATGAATTGAAATCACTTTGACACATAAATGAGATCTGAATGTGTATCTCAATCTGCCAAAATGAATTGTTTCAATTCCTTCAATCTGAATGTGTATCTCAATCTGCCAAAATGAGATACATAAATGACACATCCATCTAACTCAATTTGAACTGAAATCATCAAGAATACATCAACTAACTGAAATGATATTCATATATGACACATCCATCTAACTGAAATTGAACTGAAATCATGAAAAATACGTCAACTAACTGAAATGATATACATAAATGACACATCCATGATATGTAACTCAAATTGAACTGAAATCATCAAGACTACATCAACTAGCTGAAATGATATACATAAATGACACATCCAACTATATGAAATTAAACTGAAATAATCCAAAAAAACATCATACATAATACATCATCTAACTGGAATGAAGTACATAAGCATCCAAATACATCATGTAACTGATGTGAAGTACATAATCATCCAAAATACATAGATCATTCAAATACAACAACAAACAAGAATATCATCCAAATTCCCTTGGTGTGCTTGGTTGGAGAGGGTCTGGCCGATTAGATTTGCCAGGAGAAATGAAGGGTTGAAGGATTATTTGGGGTGGAATGTTGTTGTGGTTAGTCGGAGAGGGGCGGGCCGATTGGCCTTTGTGGAAGGAATGAAGGGTTCTTCTAGAAAGGACTCCATGTTTTTTTTGAAAATCAAATAACCATTTTATTGATAATCAGATCTTAACAAGAAAGATAACAACTAAAAGTCGAAGCATTACAATCATGGCGTTCAAAACTACACTAGGGTGAGACAAAGAACAAAAACGTCATATAAAAACACTCATGTTCGCTAACCCTGCAACAATGCAGACTCGTACCGCAGTGTGTCTGCTCATGCTACTCGAAATGGGTTCGGCTTGACCAGCCACCGAAAAGGAATTATTGAACTTGCCGGTTTTTCCAATCACCGGTAAGGAGCCAAGTGCAGAAATTGTTCCGGTTTGACCAGCCACCGGAAAGAAAGCAATTCATCCAATGTCATCTTCCTGAATCGGCGGTGGTTCAGGAGGGGGCGATCGGCCTCTATATCGATGCAGAAGAAATCCTGATTCATGATTGATAAAGAAGCTAATACAAACCTCTTACTAGCACACAAGAACACCCGACCGATGATGGTGGGGAATATAGATCTGGCGAGCGACACTTCGCCACCGAAAATAATATCTCTAGACAAAGCTAGGAAATAAACGTATAGATAGAACTGAAAATACTGATTAAATAAAACTTTTTCCATGATTGAAGTCAAAAGAAGAGAAGAAAAGAAGGGAGAGGAGGCGGCAGCTAGGGTTTCCCTTCGCCGCTCCTCTCTCCCCTTGCGTCAATTGAAAGGGCTCCATGTTTTAATAATGCAGGTTGGGATGAAAGATTGGAATCGTGGTGCAATCTTTCATCCAGGTTCGGAACCGTTTTTTAATAAAATAAATAAATAATTTAATTAATTAATAATACTAATAATAACAATAATGATAAAGATAATTCTAATAGTAGTAGTTATAGTGGTTGTAATTTTCAGTCATTGCTAGTTATAAATTATATGGAGTAATACTTTAATATTACAAATTATAGTTATAAGAATACATAAATTAAAAATGACTATAATATTTTAAAATTACTAACACCTCAATTTGTGCAAGCTAATTTTTAACTGCGTAGTGATTTATTAAAAAACTATTTTACTGTTAAGTACGTATCTAACTATTGTACTTAGTTATAGAAATAAAAATATTAACTATATTAATGATTTTTGGGAGCTCTTTCATCCAAATAATCTTATACGTAGTAACTTGTTATCTACTTTATTTAAAAAAAAAATATAAAAAGATAAAAATTTGGAACCGGAAAACGGAATCGGAACCGAATCGGATTGGAACCGGAACCGCCGGCTTTGGAACCGATAGTGTGCCGTTCTGGTTCCTCAAAAGTTGGGACCTCTAACTGGCGGTTTGATTCTGGTTTCGGTTCGATTCCAAACCAGGGACGAGCCTAGTTACATCTCCATCTAGTTCACGTCATACTTAACTGTGGAGCCTAGCTAATGAAACATATCATTAACATGTACCTCCTTGCCATCTAAGATAATCTTGTTATTACCATTTCTTTTACTTCCGCTAAATTTTCACTTCATCCTTATACTTAATAGCGATACAAATAGATCTCCACCGTTCATTTACAAATGATCTCACTGTTCACTTTGAAATTGATCTCCACTATTCACCTCTCACTTCTTAGGGGTGTTTGGATCTGATTCTTAAAACCGCTTCTTCTCCTTCAGAGAGCAGAAACAGAAAATAGAGCGTTTGGGTGAAAGTGCAGAAATGATTCTGGTGCTCTAATTTACTCCTAGAATCAGTTTTTTTAGAAGTTGGGGGAGACCAACTTCTCAAAAATGATTCTGATTCTGCTTCTACGTTAAAAATGAAGCAGAATCAGAATCAGTTCCAAACACTCCTTAATCATCTATCTCACCTCTTTCCTCTTCCCTTAATCACCGATCCCTTGCCTTCTATCTACAAGGCTCTTTTCTCTCCATTTTTCAAATCTCTTTTCCACGGTTCAACCGTTCACTTTCCTTCCTCCGCTGCAAGTCTTTCAATTGCCCACTGATTTGCCAACTTTGGTTTGCTACAAATTAGATCCTCTTTGAACTAAAGGTCATATTAGAAAATGTTTTCATAGTATATACCAGTAACTCCAAAACAAGAAGTTTTGCTTGTGGATAGTAAGTAAATCTTATACTAAAACATTTTAATATTCTTATCTTTTTTTTCCCTTAGTTGTTTAGGTTGCCAAAGGATAGTCAATTTCAGTGGAAACTATTCTAACTATCTCTACGCATTGGATGGTTGGTTTTAAGCATGTACATTATGTCATGATGATGTGTC